GGTGGGTGGAAAGTGGGGCTCGGGAGGATATGGGAGTGTTGCATAAGGTATTGCCCAGGTGTTCTTACTGGATGGGAACAAAGTATACCAGAGAGCAAGAGGACATGCCAGGTAAGGAGAGTGACCTGTTAGACGTGACCCTGCTCCCTGGTGAACCAGGGGCTGTCATGCATCACCTATGATGATGAGTGAATCTGGGGAAAGGAGGGAGAGGAATACACTTCCCAGATATAAATTCCTCTTTTACAATAGATATTGAAAGGGGAATAATGAAGGGTGATGTCTGCATATGTATAAGCTGTATAAGAAAGATAGCCTGAGATGTAATTGGCCCATTTGTGTGCACAAAAGCAAAACAGAGGGACACTGCTCCAGAGGAAAAAATAATTAGGGCAGAGAATACCTCTTAGTGACCACCAGGTGGCACAACAGACCAAACACAGCTTGGTTGTTGGTCCATCAAGTCTCGGGTACAGTGTGAAAGTTGGAAATCAAAACCCAGTGTGGCCAGACAGGCTCACACCTGTTATCCCAGCACTTTGGGAGGCAAAGGTGGGAGGATCGCCTGAGTCCAAGAATGTGAGGCCAGTCTGGGCAACATAGTGAGACTGTGTTGCTGAGACTTTCTCTCTACTATATATACATAAATTTTTGATAGAATGAAAAGATCCAGAGTGCTTACAATGGAATATTGTTCACCCGTAAAAAAGGAAGGAAATTCCCATGTATGCTACAATATCAATGAATCTTAAAGACATTATGTTAAGTGAAATAAGCCAGGCACAAAATAACAAATATTGTTTGATTCCACTAACATGAGGTACCTAGAGTCATCAAATTCATAGAGAAAGTAGAATGGTGGTTTCCAGGGACAGGAAGAAGGGGGAGTGAGAAGCTGTCATTTAACGAGTATGGAGTTCCAGTTGGGGAAGATGAAACATTTCTGGAGACAGAGGATAGTGATGGTTGCACAATAATGTACTTAAAAATGGTTAAGATGATTTTATGTTATTTTACCATAATTTTAAAAATAAAAACAAAAGACAATGCCCATACCATTCTCTTATACCTGCTTGAAGTCCAAGTGGTGGATGCACCTTCTAAAACAGGTGAGAGAAAGTAAAAGGTGTTTCCCCAATCCTGCCTGTCTCAGCCTGTCAGTGCCACCTTTCCTGCCCAAATCCTCAGTTCTCTCTTTGCACCTTGTTCACTTACTTATCATCAAATGCCTATTCAGTGTGGGCCTTGAGCCAGTCCTGAGAATGCATTCTCTAGGGGCCAAGCCATTCAGCAGCTCCCTCTCATCCACTCCATTTATCTTCCCCCAGCCAATCCTCAGGCCACACATTTTCTGCTTTCTTCTCTCACTCAACATCCATTAAAAAAAATACTGTCTTAGTTCATTTGAGCTGCCACAACAAAATACCTTCGACTGGGTAATTTATAACTAATAGAAATGTATTGCTCGCAGCTCTAGAGCTGGGAAGTCCAAGATCAAGGCTCCAGCAGGGGCCCATTCCTCATAGATGACGCGTCCTCTATGTTGCCACATCCTCCCGTGACGCAAGGGCAAAAGAGGCGAACAGCTCTCTCATACCTCTTTTATAAGGTCACCAATCCCATTCAGGAGTGCTCTACCTCATGGCTTAACCATTTCCCAAAAGCTCACCGTGTAATACTGTCACATTGGTGATTAAGTTTTAACATATGAATTTGGGACCCAGATCATGGCAAATACTTTTGATTCATATTTATTTTAGTTTTAAGACAGGGTTAGAAGGAGTAATAGGTGGGGTTTTCTAAAGAAAAAGCCGTTACTAGAGTGACTAAGGGCAGACACCAACAAGCCATCCTCTTAATCTAATTAGGCTAAAAATATGCAACAGCAACAAACAACCCTCACATTTCTGTGGCTTAACACACCAATAGTTTACTTTGTGCTCACATTACATGTCCAGTACAGATCAAGATGGTCTGCTCCACGTGGTTATTTAGACTAATGGAGGCTCCACCAACTAGAACGGCAGTCTCCGTGGTAGTTATAGGAGGGTAAGAGAGTGGAGAATTACAATTGGCTTTTCACTGCCTCAGCCTGAAAGTAACCCACATAGCTTCCCCTTCCATTTCATTGGTCAGAAAGAACCACATGGCCCTGCCTACCTGCAAATATTATATCTGTGTAGTCCTATTCCCTGCTATACTTTTTGACTCTGTGCTCTCACTGTACTAATAGTGAAATTCTGTTTCTCCTGAATCTGCTGCCCTCCCTGGACTCTCATCTTTAAGAATGGAGGCCTCATATTACTTATTATGTAACTTTGGGGCCTAGCACATGACGGGTGATCGTGGAGCGAATGAACAATGGCACAAAGTAAAGGTGAATCTAAAGGAACGTGGGGGCAGTCCCTGGGAGGATCAGTTTAGATTGAGCTTCCCTAACTGAAAAGTGAAGCAGAGAAGGGCCACAAAACAATGCTATCAGTTTGAAAAATGAAACCAAACCTTAATGAATAGAGTGGGACAGTCTGTGTGTAACACAGCTCATTGGTGGGGTGGGTTTCCGTAAACATCAAAACAGACTGCATATATAGAAGGGAAAATGGGACCCCCATGGGCACTAATGGCTTTGGAAAAAAAAAAAAATCCCCTGGTCTCAGAGCAGCCTCATGGATAAACTAGGCACAGAAGAGTCTGACTTGTCTCTCATCATAAGTTTTTTGGAGCTTAGAAGGACTATGGTGCAATTCCTGGGTCACCATGGAAAAACCTTGACTTATCCAACTGTTGTATTATTTTTTTTTTCTCTTGTAGAAGAAAAAAAGGACTTAACCCTAAAGAATTGCTTCCTATTTCAAAAGCCGTCAGTTTTATTGACCTCGGCTTACAAAATAAGTGGGTTAATCTGGATTCCAAAGATATTTAAGGATACTTTAAGTTATAAGTAGGATGACTATCCATCCAGGTTTGAACCTGCTGTTCATGGTTAATTTATTAATAGCATGTCTCACAGTTCATTCGCAGAACTGCTTGGGTTTGGCCGATAAACTGAAATGTCATCCCAGTTAAAAGTAGCATTTGTAACTAGCTGGAGAAAGGTGACATGGGGTTCTAGGAAGGGACAGAGGAACAAACATTTCTGTTGGCTCAGCACGCCCAGAGTGTGTTGGGCTGGGCACCTAGAGGACCTGTTTCGGGACTGCCAAACGGGCCATTTTGCTGGGAGTAGCCCAGGTGTTTTAACCACTTCCTGAAGAACAAGGTCGGGTAAAAGAGAAGCTGGGGGTAGGCGTGAGTCACTGCCATTTGCTGACTTCCTGATCTTTGGAAGTTGCTTCAAGCAGCTGACCAGCAGTTTCCTTATCTGCAAAACTGGAATAACAGTTTCCTTCCAAAGGCTGTCTTATTTAATTCACTTAACAGCAGCCACTATTATTCCATTATCGAGACGAATAAATAGACATTATGTGAAGGCAAACTGCCGTGATCAAGGCTCATCCTAATTCTAACAGCTACTACTGAGGAACCAAGTACTCAAGCAGCCTGTGCAAACTCTCTGATTTCTAGAAGAGAAGACGGATACTTGGAGAGAGAACTTGAACAAGGTTACAGAACTCCTAAATGGCTTGGGAAAGGCTGATCCTAGGTCTGGTTCAGAGCCCGCGCTCTCACTGCATAAGGCGTATTTCAAGGGAGGAACCGGCAAGCGTCTGGCCCCACTCCTGGGACTCCATAGCCAATGCTCTTTTCCTCTTTTCGTTATACTGCACGGCTGGTCAGAAACCCATCGTGGAAGCAGATCAAACACAACAAAGGGCAGGGGGCTTTGGAAAACCGGGCGAAGTCACGCCGACCGAGATGACCGGCCCCAGCAAATCGCCGGGGGCGGTATCGAGTGTCCTCCTCCCGTCAGCCCAGAAGCCAAGTCACCTTTTAGACTTGCTCTCGTGGCGGGGAGGGAGCGTGGAGCCCCCTGGTCCGGCTAAGAGCTTACGTAAGGCCCGCGGGCGGCTGCGCCCCGGTCTCCCGTGGGTGTGCGCAGAGCCCCCAGCCCGGGGCAGGCCTTCCCCTGTCCGCTCCCCAAGTCTCTCGGCCCAGGACCGCGGGGGAGTCCCGGGACCACCGACCCCGCGCCCGCCGAGTCCGCTTTGGGCGGCGGCGTCCTCCGCAGCCACCCAGCTTCCCGGGGGAGGAGCAGCGCATCGCGCAAGCATCCGGGAGCGGCGGAGGGGGCGGGAGGAAGGGCGAGAGGAGGAAGCGGGATTTAAACGAAAGGCGGTGACGCCACACAAAAGATTTCTATAGGCTCCAGGGAGGTTACGGCCGAGGCGGCGGCGGCGGCGAGCCCGGGGGCGAGGTGCGGACGGGAAGAGGAAAAGCCTCCAGCGGCCCCTGCGGGCGGCGGCGCGGCCACGGCCGCGCTCCGAGGTGAAGCCGCGCGCGGAGAGGAAGCGGGTGTTTTCCCCGCTGCCTGTCGGCCCCCGCCCTTCCTTTCAGTTTCTCCCCGCTCGCTCGGAAGTTGGCGGTTGACAAAAATGGCAGGAGCCGGGGCCCGGGCCGGTTGCCGCAGCGCCGCGGGGACCTTCTGAGTTGGCCCGGCCGCGGGGAGACGCGTGCGGGGGCGTCCGATGCGCGGGGCCGGGGGCCTTGGGAGAGCTCATCTGCTGCGGGCCCCAGACGAGGAGGCGACGGGGATGGACTCGCGCCGACAGCCAGCGGCGGGCCGCCGGGCGCGCGGTCTGGGAGGGCGTGCCGCCGCGGCGCCGGGCCGCGCTCTGTGAACCGGCGAGGCGGGAAGGGGCCGCCGCGGCGCTCGGCACTCCCGGGCGTGGCGGGCGGGCGAGAGCTGGAGCGCGATCGGGGCGGCCACTGTGCGCAATCAGTGCAGGCTCCCGCCCGACTCTGACTCCGCGCGGCCGCGACAGCGGCCACACCCTCTGCCCTGCCGCCGCCGGCGCCGCTTCCCGAGAGCCGGAGGCAGGAGATGCGCCCCGGGCGGCCGCGCGTCCCAGAGAGCCGGCCCTGGCTGTCGTCGCGGGGAAGTGCCGCCTGGCGGGGTCACGGCGCCTGAAGCCCACGTGCGCCGCCGAGCCCGAGGTGGCCTCGAGCGCGGCGGCTGACAGCAGAAGCCGCCTGAGCTGCCTCCCGCGCTCCTCCCCGAGAAAAGGATTTTGATTTCAAAGAAAGGAAGGAAGGACAACTCCCAGCTTCCCCGTCCCGCCCTCCGCGCTCCGAGGGCCGGGCCAGGCCATGCCCAGGAAGGCAGCGGCGGCAGCGAACCAGCAGAAGGGACTTTCCTGGCAGCCCGGCGACGAGGAGCGCGGACAGTGAGTTTGCTCTGCCCCGGTTCATGGTTCCTGCAAGCCCTCTAGGAGGCCGAAAGCTGCAGCCCCTCCCCTTGCCCCGAAGAGCCTCCCGCGTTCGCTGGCCCTCAGGCCCACCCCGCGCCGCCCCAGATCCCGCCGCTGCAGCCCAGTGCCCTCTGCCCGCGGCGGTGGATGGCATGATGGTGCGGAGAAGGCACCGCGGCCTTGGCCAGCTGAGTCGCGACGGCCGCCGGGGCGGCGGCAGTGGCCGCGGCAGCGGCGGTGGTAGCGGGCTCCCCAGCGGCATGCCAGTGCCCCCCGGGCGCGATGGCTAGCGGCAGTGCTGGGAAGCCCACTGGCGAGGCGGCTTCTCCGGCTCCTGCGAGCGCCATCGGCGGGGCGCGGAAGAGGCTGGTATCCGTCTGCGACCACTGCAAGGGAAAGATGCAGCTGGTGGCGGATCTGCTGCTGCTGTCGAGCGAGGCGCGGCCCGTGCTCTTCGAAGGCCCCGCCTCCTCTGGTGCGGGCGCCGAGTCCTTCGAGCAGTGCCGAGACACCATCATCGCGCGCACCAAGGGGCTCTCCATCCTCACCCACGACGTCCAGAGCCAGCTCAACATGGGCCGCTTCGGGGAGGCGGGGGACAGCCTGGTGGAGCTGGGCGACCTGGTGGTGTCGCTGACTGAGTGTTCGGCCCACGCGGCCTATCTGGCTGCTGTGGCCACGCCGGGCGCGCAGCCCGCACAGCCGGGCCTGGTGGACCGCTACCGCGTGACGCGCTGCCGCCACGAGGTGGAGCAGGGCTGCGCCGTGCTGCGCGCCACGCCGCTGGCCGACATGACGCCGCAGTTGCTGCTGGAGGTGTCGCAGGGCCTGTCGCGCAACCTCAAGTTCCTGACGGACGCGTGCGCCCTGGCCAGTGACAAGTCACGGGACCGCTTTTCGCGCGAGCAGTTCAAGCTGGGCGTCAAGTGCATGAGCACCAGCGCGTCGGCGCTGCTGGCCTGCGTGCGCGAGGTGAAGGTGGCACCCAGCGAGCTGGCGCGCAGCCGCTGCGCGCTCTTCAGCGGGCCCCTGGTGCAGGCCGTGAGCGCCCTGGTAGGCTTCGCCACCGAGCCGCAGTTCCTGGGTCGCGCGGCAGCCGTGAGCGCCGAAGGCAAGGCGGTGCAGACCGCCATCCTGGGAGGCGCCATGAGCGTGGTGTCGGCCTGCGTGCTCCTGACCCAGTGCCTCAGGGATCTGGCGCAGCACCCCGACGGGGGCGCCAAGATGTCGGACCACAGGGAGAGGCTGAGGAACTCGGCCTGCGCCGTGTCTGAAGGCTGCACCCTGCTATCTCAGGCTTTAAGGGAGAGGTCTTCGCCCAGGACTTTACCGCCAGTGAATTCCAATTCTGTGAATTAGCACCCCCCCATACCCCTTCTTCCACCCCAGACTAAAGGAAGATACTCTCTGCCCCTCTCCATTTATACCAAAGAAATCATAGGTGAAACCCCCTACCCTCCCCAACGTTAAATGCTCGAAAGGAATCTTCCACAAGGCAGGGCCATGCACACAACCTGCTCACGCACTCCGAGAGCCCAGGTGTGTCTGTCCACCAGCCCCCCACGCGGTAGGGACTGGAAGATGGTGTCATCTGCTGGCTGTTACCACTCCCGCCCCCTACCCCAGCCCGTCTTCCGGAATTTCTCAACTAAATCTTACCATTAATTGGGCAGGAAGGAGGTCATGGGTTCATTTCATTTTCGTTGTTTTTTGTGTTTTTAAGTCAAAGAAAGGTTACCTCAGTTTTCACTCCTTAGACATGGATGTAGCTACCTTGTTTTGTATGTCATTTTTTTTAAGCAATCGTGTTGAATTAGGAGTATACTTGGTGTGGAAAGAGTATGAATTTGCCATGTGATTTGCAAATGGGGGGAAGCTACTGTGAGTGTGTGTTTTATTTTTTAATTTACACTATAGAGTGATTTTTTTTCCCCCAACGTCAAGTTTTTACCTTGCATGTACTGGAGTATTTATTTCATCTATTAAAATGTTATGTTTCTCAGATGGCTTTTTGCAATGATTGTTGATTTTTCAATAATTGTAATTTTGCATGCTGCATGTCATGTATGGGAAGGGTCTTTGAGAAAGCTATTTCAGTAGTAGTGAGTTGGACCCCTAATTCCCAATCCTTTCTGCTTTTTCCTCAAGAAAAAGTAATGTTCAAGAAGTACTCCCTTGAGCAGCCTGGAACTGAAAGGACTATGTGTAACATTCTGCTTTGAAAGGCAGGTGACACAAATGGACTTGGGTTATGTAGAGTGTTTGGGACAGTTTTGTCTCATTTTTCCTGGAAAGTGATTTAGGTCCCTTTGTCTCCAGTTATCTTTTCATCAGGAACAGTGGCTCAGGCTGCCTGAATTCTGATTTGTATTCTCCCCGTCATTTTCAGATTAAAGCACCTCCTAATCCTGTGTGGTATGCCAGCCTTCCCATCTCAGAGTCTCTACGGATGGAACCGTTAAAAGTACTGTACGTCAAGTGAGAACAGTTAACATCTTTTATGTACACAGGAGTAGCAACACAAGATCCTCATGGTTTTAGAAAAAATATAGAGAGGCTCCTAGACTGCTTAATAGAGGAAGTAGTATCCTGGAAAGCATGTTCAGAACGTTCTAGAGCCACAACATAATTGTAGGCCAAGGGCCTATTTTTGTGACCTTGATCTAAGATAATTCCATGCTTGATTGTATGTTGGAAGAATGCTTTGTTGATTGAAATTTGCAGTAATATTAAGGTAGTATGTCTTTTCTGCAGACATTTTTAGGAGCCTTTTTGTGTGAGTGGTGGTGGGGCGCATCGTTTTGTTGAACCTAGTTAAATTCTGAACATCTTCCACTAAAAGCACAACAAATCTATTTACAGTGCTTGAAGCCTGGGAGGGCTCCATGAGTAAAAACTCGTGCGTGCTTTAGATTTGTTCCATTTACATTTTTCTTGGGATTTGTTGTGCTTAAACCCTCGCAGTTCCCACAGATCTGAAAAGAAAGCATTTTGTACTGTAATACGTTAGAGAGAAGAGTCATATTGACTGTTTTACTTGTTTGAATAGCTGTTTTTATTACAAGGACATGAAACACAACATGTAAAATATCTTTAACCTGTGTTAGATAAGGCTAGGACTGTTTCACCACCCTGAATTTGAAGTTTGAAAAGTCTTAAAGTGGTAGGGTACCTACATTAAAAAAAAAATGACTAGGGGGCAGTTTTTCTCTTTTAAATCCTGGTAAATATTTGGTTTTTGAAGTCTTTAAAAGAGGAAAATGACTTTGAGCATCTTTATTCCTCTCCTCTGCCCTTTAAAGTTGGCATGGGGTTCAGGTGGTAGGAGGTAGGGAAGAACCCTAGACTTGGAATCACATCCCCCCCCATCGCCCCCCCCCCGCCCCCCCCCCCCCCCCCCCCCCCCCCCCCCCCCCGCAGAAAAAAGAAAAACCTGGATTCTCAAAGATTTCAAATTAGCAGGAGACCAACTTGTCTTCTCTATCTGGAGAAATGGTCTCAAAAGGGGAGGTGGGATTCTAACTCATGTGCCAGTGACAATCCTGCATGCCTATAGAAGTGTTTGTTTATTTATTGAATGTACATAAGTAATGATAGAGTTTGATTATATGGTTCATTTTCATTTATCCTATGCAGGTCACAGAGAGTAAACTGAAAAGAACAAACACTAAGTAAAGTAAGGGCCAGAAATCTGCAAATTTGGTATTAGATTAAGAAAAAGAATTGCCAGTTTTTTCTTGGACTCTTTCCTTGCAGAAGCAATTTTCAGGACAGCTCAAGCCAATTAAAAAAAATCACTTTCCCTATCTGTTTGGAATAAGTTAGCTGGCTAGTCACTAAATTAATTTTGAAACCTCTTATCTAAATGATAGTTGCTCTTAGTGTTTCTGTGTATTCTACATTTGGTCATGTAGCATGCATAATCTCTATACCCTGAAGTTGATAAAAGTTCTAAACTTAAGTGTTTTCACGTCACCCCCCCAACCCCTCCGCATTTATAAGATAAAGTTCAGGGCTTTTCTTCCAGAAGGTGTCTTAAAATGAATTCTGCTTGTACTTTTTTCCAGCGGATTTCAGTAAGCCACAGTGAGGAACGCTAGGCAAGGGATTTGGGCACAGGTCTTTGACATTTTACCTTTCCTCTAATGTCCCAGGTTGCTAAACTTGTTTTTTGAATAGCCCTGATTTTTAAAAAAGCAGTGTCTCAGACCTATTTCATAATAGGGTTTAATAAGGTCAGCAGAGATACTGGTTCCAGGAATAAATCAGAGTAGCCTGGTTTTTTGTTTGTTTGTTTTTAATTTTTAAACCACCCTGGAGTAAATTTAAGACATTAATCCTTGGGTTCTGACGTCTGAGGGCAAGTTTTCTTATACAGACTTAATGCACATCGTCTTGACCAGGGAATGTTGAGAACCTTTTTCCTTGGAATGGTCATGAGAAAAGGAAATCATTATGGCTAAGTTTGTTGAACAAAAGACATTATTTATGATAGTCAACTTGGTAAATGGAACAAAAACAGTCTTTCAAACATAAGAACCAGAAGAAAGCACAGCTCCATCTTTCTTTGCCTGTTTTAAGTGTAGTCTTTATTATTCATTCTGGGTGATGTTAGGAAATATACAAATTATGTGATGTGTGTGTGTATTTGCCTTCTTCCCCACCCCTCACTGCACCCTCACCCCATCCTCATTTTTATAATTCTGGAAGCATCAGTTACATCTGATTGGTTATTTTATACACACTTTTTTTTTTAAGCTGGCCTAGGGATCTAAAATATTTGGCAGTTTGAAACAGCTAATTTTAACAGAAACACCTGTTTTTCCGAATGAATGCGACTATGGTAACATGCAGATCAGGCAGAGGATTTGAAAAACGACTGCCAAAATTCTTTCTGAGCTTTGCTCAGTGAACGTGGAAGGATTTAGAGAAGAAATCCTTAAAGAGTTAGTAGCATTTTCACCTGGGGCTCTTCCCTGGGCTGCGTTCTGGTTAGCAGCAACTGGAAGAGGCTTTAAGGAGGCCCCTGAGTTTCCAATGTGGGCACAGGTATTTGTGTTCCTTCCTGGCAAATTCTTGTCTTAATTTTGTGTGTGTGTGTGTGTGTGTGGGTGTATGTATGCAATGAATTGGTCCATTTGGACTAAGCAGGGTTTTATTTAGGGTTCTTTAGATAGGTGAGTTGTTTTCTTTGACTTCAGTGGCAGAAGGCTCTAAGATTTAACTATCTGGGTGTTATAAGGAAAAAGTGTGATATTAGTGTCTGCGATTGGGGTCAGTTTAACTGTGGACCCCTTAAGGTTAAGGGCTTTAGTGCCCAGCATATATGTAATTATGTTTTTTGAAATGAATCTGTATAAGATACTCGCAGCAAGTATGCATAAACAAGTAGTAAAATTGTTCCTGGAAATGAAAGTTATAATGGCCATTCATTCGGCAAATATTTACTGGGGACCAACTGTGTGTGCTCCTAACACTGCTGGTGCTTGTGTGCAGCTGTGAGGGAGACGTGGTTCCTCTTGGGAAGGTTGCTGTCGAGACTCAGTGCTAGACTCAGACCAACCTCAGCTTGTATGTGGGACCCTCAGCGTCGGTCTCATCCTGGGCTCTACCTTCGACCTAGTCCGTCAGAAACTCTTGAGGTGTGGCAATTTGTGTTTTATGAAGCCCTCCCAGGTGATTCTGATGCACGCCCATGTTGGAGAACCACTGCCTTACAGGGGCTGTGGGTTTCTTTTTTATTCTTTGCCAAGTCTGAGCCCAGAGTACTTCCCTATCAGGAGGCATCAGCATTTCTGCAAATTACTTGTTTGCTCAGGTGGTTTTGTTCTCCTGGATATTTTGAGACCGTTTCTCCAGATAGAAAAGACAAGTTGGTCCCCTGTCAATCTGAAATCTTTGAGAATCCAGGTTTTTCTTTTTGAGGCGGCGATGTGATTACAAGAACAGTGTTCTTCCCTGCCTCCTGCCAGCCTTTTGAGATGAACTGAAATCATGTAATAGTGAACTGACAAAACAGCTTTCTATGTTTTTACGTGTTGTTGACTCTTATCCTGGAAAACGGAGTAGCAGACACTCTAATTAAAATACAACCCTTTAGCTCTTTGGTTGCCCAAGAAAGAACATTTTAATACTGAGTTTGTAAAATACTATGTTCTGAACCAGATGTAGTATACAGACTTATTCCAAAGCTCACTTTAAGGAAACCAGAGTCTGCACTATACTCAGGAAATACACTCTTTCTTTTTTTTTGAGACGGAGTCTAGGTCTGTCGACCAGGCTGGAGTGCAGTGACACAATCTCGGCTCACTGCAACCTCTGCCTCCTGAGTTCAAGCGATTCCCCTGCCACAGCCTCCCAAGTAGCTGGGACTACAGGCATGAGCCACCACACCCAGCTGATTTTTTTTGTATTTTTAGTACAGACGGGGTTTCACCATGCTGTCCAGGATGGTCTCCATCTCTTGACCTCGTGATCCACCCGCCTCAGCCTCCCAAAGTGCTGAGCCACTGCCCCGCCAGGAAATTCGCTCTCTAAGGCTGACCATGAACCAGGAATTAGGATGATCCTTTAGAGTCTAATTCCTCAAAAAGGTGGTCCCAGAAGCTGACATAGGCCTCACCCTGGAACCTGGTAGATACACAGACTGTCACCTGCCCTGGCCCAGACCTGTCCAATCAGAGCCCTCACTTTGACAGGACCTCCAGGTGATTTCTGTCCCTTTAATATTTGAGAAGCAGATAAAAGTGGTGGCCATGACTGAATCATAGTTCTTTCTTTCCTGTGGGAACCTAGGCATTTATTATGCTCACTTAGATCTCTTTGGTTTATAAAGTGCTTTCATGTATATTATGTAATTGAGTCCTTAGTGCAATCCTGTGAGGTAGGCAGGTATTACTGTGCATATCATCGAAACATTTGTGCCTTTTCCCATTGTAAAAAATGAAATCACATAAAATATAAGGCCTTGTGATGAGCTTTAAGGCCTTGTGATGAGCTTT